ACTCTGCCCCATCTATTTTGTAGGGCCTCACATGGAAATATGGGTGAACAGTCAATAGAACACTCTGGGTGTGTCTAGACTACCTAGTTTTGTCCACTTTTGTCGACAAAACTATACCAGCGTCTACACTACCGCGGAGTTCTGTTGACATAACGTCGACAGAACTCAGCAGTTTTGTCGACGCTGGTAAACCTCATTTTACGAGGCATAACACCTTCTGTCGACAGAAGGTGTTATTGCCTGTAACGTTGCGTCCAGACTACGGAGTTCTGTCGACAAAGCAGCTTGCTTTGTCGACAGAACTCAATGTGTCTGGACGCTCTTTGTCGATGGAAGTTTTGTCGACAGTATCTGCCGACAAAACTTCCGTCGACAAAACGCGGTAGTCTAGACGTACCCACAGCCTGAGGGACAGGAATTCCCCTCACGTATACACTTGCCCTTCTGTGGCATCACGGTACAGTGCTCCTCAGCAAATGGCTGGCACTATATTGCTCTTGTCACCTTCTTGAGGTGATTCGTCCAATGAAGTCACAGGACTGGACACTATCCTGGATAGAGTTGTTATGGGGACTGAGCCAAAGTCCATTCAAGTCAATAGGCGTCTTTCCACAGATGTTTGTGGGGCCTGACTCAGGTCTCTGGAGGTGCAAGAGAATGTGGTAGTTACTAGTTCCCATAGAGGTGAGAATAGAAGCTTGCCCATGAACAAAGTTGCCTCCGTTTAGATGTGACTTGGAACCAACTTAGTCAAAATGGTGCAAAAAGGCTCTGGGGACTTTGATTTCTATTTAAACAATGTGGCTACGTCTAGACTGGCATGATTTTCTGCAAATGCTTTTAACGGAAAAGTTTTCCGTTAAAAGCATTTGCAGAAAAGAGTGTCTAGATTGGCACGGATGCTTTTCCGCAAAAGCACTTTTTGCAGAAAAGCGTCCGTGCCAATCTAGACGTGCTTTTGCACAAAAAAGCCCCGATCACCATTTTCGCAATCGGGGCTTTTTTGTGCAAAACAAATCTGAGCTGTCTACACTGGCCCTCTTGCGCAAAAGCTTTTGCACAAAAGGACTTTTGCCTGAACGGGAGCAGCATCGTATTTCCGCAAGAAGCACTGATTTCTTACATGAGATCGTCAGTGTTCTTGTGGAAATTCAAGCGGCCAGTGTAGACAGCTGGCAAGTTTTTCCGCAAAAGCAGCTGAATTTGCAGAAACAATTGCCAGTCTAGACGCAGCCTATTTGTTTCAGTTTAGCTTAGGTCAGTCATCCTGGTCTGCACAGAAACATGTGTCAGGTTAGTTAAATCAGTGTGAAGTCCTGTGTAGATACTCTGATTTCAGTTTGAGTGGTTTATTTGGGTTTCAATTAAACATGTTCACAATTTACAGTAAGTTCAAAAACAAGACAAAACCCCCTAACAACTCAGAGGGTTAGAATAGCATCCACACATGGATTTGCATTAGTTCAACTAAATAGTTTTATATTCACATCCCATTTGTTAAGCAGGCACAATTATTGGGGTAGCTAAGCCCTTTGAAAGAGGTTTCAGCTACACTGAAAAATGGGAGTACACACAGGGGTTTCTGCGAGTTTAAACTTTGGGTTTATCTACAAAATCTAATTTTCAGCTCGAGTATGCAGGCTTGTACTAGCTTGATCAAACAAGCATGCTGAAAACTGAAGTGTAGCTAAGCAGTGGGAACACCCCAGCTACAATCCTATTCGAGACCCAAGGTACGTACGTGGATGGCTAGACTCTCCCATTGTTGCAGTAACACATCTGTTTTTAGCATGCTAGTCCAATCAGAGCTAGTCTACTAGTCAAGTACGTCCACTTGAGCAGGAAATGACACCTCCCACTACAGTGTAGACATACCCTAAACCAGTGCAAAATTTGTTTGTAGACAACTGCTAGGTGCACTTATCCAGGGTGGTGGAGTCCCCATATTGAGAGGTCTCAGGGGAAAAGGAGATTCTGGGACAGTGCATCTTTAAAATCTCCCCTTTTAAATAAGGAAGCACATGCCCAAAATTGCACCTTAAATCACAGAATTCATCTCCACAAGCATTCCACTGACAAGATCTCATTTGTTTGCTTAGAGACATAATTTACCATTCTTTGGATATGAGGCATTTGTCATCATTTAAGAAAAAAAGAGCAAAATGGGGCATTTTTTTCAAACAAAAACAATTTGTGAAAAATCAAAGGTCAGTTATAAATTATTGTGTTCTGTCATGAAACCAGCAACATTATTTCTTTTGCCACCTATCACCCATCAATCGTGGCAACTTTCTTACAGCTCCAGGGGAGAACCCACCAGGAGACAAAACAAAAGTGTCATGCAGTGCAGCCCAAATTTATAAACTCTTATTTACACACAAAGTCCCCTCCCCCACTCATCTGAATAGTCCCATTGGTTAAAAAAAGACTGGCAACAGTAAAATCATATAGTCATATAAAGTTGTTAGCTTTGCTAAACAATGAGAAGTCCAGTAGCACCTCAGTCTGAATCTGCATAAACAACAACACGGCTACCCCTCTGATAGCTTTGCTAAAGTATCCTGTGACACAAAGGTAGTGGGTGAAAACTCATTGATAGGTGGCAGAATGGCATTTGTAATATTCTGTTTGAATTGCTGAGTCTTTTTCCAAGCAGTAAAACTCAGATAATGTAAAACAGGTGAAGGGTAGCAAATGTACATCAAAGATGGGCTACTGTGTGTCAGTCAGCAAACAATCAATGGAACAGTTTGATCTAAATTTTGTTTCCAGAAAAGTGCCTTCAGACTATTACTAACCGAAACTAGTTCCTTTTATCTAACTGGTAGCAGCGGTGTTGAAGTTACACTTTGGGCCAATGGTAGTTTCCAGGCAAGTGCGCTCTCTTAAGGAGTTTCTATGGATACTTCCGAAAATAGAGATTAGTTGGGGAATTAGAAAATTAAAGCTTCCCCTATCTGCAAAGGGCTTTTTGTGACCACTCACTGAGTTAACATAAATCAGATAAAAATTGGGGCAGTTCCAGTTAATGTCTGTAATTTAAACATATGACCTGAGAATTCAGGTCAAATATTAAGTGTTCTAAAGCAAGCCAAGCTCCTCCAACCACTTAGAGCTAATTAAGCTACAGCAGTATTCATTAGCCACTCACTGCCTACATCCCAGACTTAGTTGAGGAGCTGACTCCAGTTGCCAGTATTTCTGACTCCATCCTTCTGCAGCAGACAGTATTATTTAGCACCTTTCATCTTCAAAGAGCTTTGCAAATATTCATTCATTTAATCCTCACAACATCCCTGCAGGCCAGTGTTAACTGTCTGGAGAACCAGAGGCAGGAAAGTGCCTTGCCCATGAAAAGCAGAGCTAGTGCTTTTGGGGTGGGGAGGGTGCCACAATTAATCTTCCTGGTTTCCCTAAGCTTTACTTTTCATTTAGGCTGAAGAGAAGAGTTTTCTCTAAATTCTCCAGAGAGATGTAATTGGGGACCATTTTTGTCCATGGTGTCCCTTGTTCCTTAACTGTATGAGGGTGATTAGCAGGGCTGGGATAGAATGAAAAGAGAAACACACACCCCACCAGCAAGGTATCGCAAGGAATTTAGTTTAACCCAGGTCAACACCAACTGGGCAAAAGTCCCTAACTGCATTCCTTCCCTGGCATAGACTCAGGCATGCAAACGGTGCAAGGCAGTGCTAACAGTTCCTCAGAGCTGCTGCTTTGGAGCCTGATTGGACTCAAATGGTTATTTCTCTCCCCTCAGAGCAATGCATCCTCTCAGCTGCCCCCTAATTAGCTCACAGCCTCCCAAAGCTGGAATAAACCCTCCAGATCCCCAAACAGGGCCTCCTGTTAGGGATACCACTCATGCAACAACCCCCTCCCCCAGACCGTCAGCTTGAAATATTATTTGGTTCTATTGTGTGCAGCAAGTGATGGGGGGGGGGGAGGGGAATCATGCTTCCTTCCCCGCAAGCTTCTGCTAAGGGACTCCAAGAAATTGGCCCTTGTTTTTTTTATTGATTTTTTTTTAAACAAAATTCTTGTAAGATGTGTCTCTCCCACAGAAAGCCTCTAAGCATCAGACTACAATTAGTCTATGCAAGAAGGCAGCACACCTCCCCTTTTTTTCTTCTTTCATTTTAATCATCATGCAGGCAGGAAGCATTTTCTCCTGGCAGGTCCCCTCCCCCACGCTTTGTTCTCCAGCAAGTCCCCTTCTCCCCACCCCATCCATTTCCTTGGATACACAGGCTGTTCTCCAATCAGCCAGGCTCACACTCCTACTCACCTTTGAAAGTCCTCCCACCTCCAAGTAAAAGCAGATGATGAAGATGTTCCAGGTGACCCAAACTGCAGTCCAGATGGCATACTAGAAAGAGGGGGGAGATAATTAATGAGCATGGGGGTGCTCTGGGATGCTAGCTTGCTTTGCACATGACTCAGCCTCACAGTCACTTTCTGCTCGTTTGGCATCTGACTAGATTTCAATGCAACCATAGCTGTGGGGCACTCACAAGTTCCCCAAAGCAGGGCTTATGGGCAGGATCTGTCCTGCTCTACCATGGCATGTTAGGGATGCTATCCCCACACACCCCCTCGGCTGAGGTCAATCTATGTATCTCACCAGTGTCAGTGGAGCTGTGCTACTAAACACCAGCTGAGGAGCTGTCAGCTGGCTAAGCGAGGTTTGTGAGACCTAATAGCACTTTAACATTGGGCCTCTGCTGGCTTTGGATCCCCTTGCAGAGTAGGAGCGCTTAGTGCTTACATAGCAAGTGGAAGCTGGGTTAAAGTATGGGTGACCAGCAATGTTCCCTCTAATTTTTCCATCCATGTGTGGAATGACTTTTGTTCTGTGCACCAAGGCATGTGCAGGTGCGCACCACCAGTAGAAACACATGCTGCTGGCTGGGGGCACTGAGCACACTGCTAATCAATTGGCAGTGGAGCCGACAACCGCTGTGGACCCCAGGCAAGGTATGGGGAAGCCGGCCCCACGCCACCTGAAGGGGCGGGGTTGAGGGTGGAAGGGGCCAGGCCAAGAGCAGTCAGCCATCAGTGCCACCTGGGCCATGGTGCTGCTGCCCTTTTCTCCCCCAGGCCTCAGAGCCATGCAAAGTGGAGCTCTGGCACTTTTCCAGTGATTCAAAGGGGCCTGGAGCTCTGGCCACCACCACTGCTACTGTGCCCGGAGCTCTGGGTCCCTTGAAATTGCTGAGCCCCTGGGCAACTGCCCCTTTCTCCCCCCTCTTGGTGGGCCTGTCGGCTGGCAGCGTTTGAATCTCTCCTGGTGGGCACCCAAGCACTCAGCTTACAGGGAACACCGGTGCCCAGGTGTGGGGTTTCTGACCCAACACCCAGCTGAAAAAGGACCCTCCCCACTCTGGTGAAATTGAGCGAGGGACGGAGGGAGGGGGATGCAGGAATGAGTGTGGCAGAGCCATAGGGAAAGGGCAGTGCAAGGATGTTTGGTCAGAATGTTGGCCACTGTTCCCGCGTGCCGCCCAACACCTGCCTGCCGAGGAGAGAGAACAGACTTTGGAGGGAGTCCCGTTCAGCTGTCCTCAGCGTGAAGATAATGGCTGGTGTTCAAGGGCTCACCATGCAAGGCTTTTGAGGGCAGAGGGAGGCAATACGGGAGGAGGAATGGGAGGCTAATAACCTTGGCGTTTTTTAGAACACAGCCGGGCAAGGCACCCTCCTCCAAAGGGTGCCGTGGTTATAGAAATGAATGACACCAGTGTGCTTAAAACTACAGCAATGAAAGAAACAATCTCTGCCAGCAGCCTCTTCCCTTGGGCACCCAATCAGCAAGTAGAGGCTTGGGGCAGAGGCCTGGAGGAAATGGTGCAGCAGAACCGAGCATCCAAGAGTAGAGGAACAGTTGGTCTCAGGTGTGTGACGCCGAAACTGAGGCTAATGCAATGAACCTAGGGTATCTGTCTGACTCACCTTTGGCTGGAAATTCCTGCTCTACTAGATTCCTACTTAGCCTAACTCAAGAAACAGTCCTTCAGCTAAGCTTTCTAGGCAGTGCCTAAAGCAGAGGTCTTCAACCTTTTTACGCATGAGATCACTTTTGGAACGGAAGTGCAATCCAGGATCTACCTCAAACCCAAATACCCTTGTCCTGCCAACTTCCTGCCCCTTCTCCGAGGCCCCGCCCCTGCTCACTCCATCCTCCCCTCCTCCTCCCTCACTTTCACCAGGCAGGGGCAACAGGTTGGGGTGCAGGCTCTGGCCTTGGATTAAGGGATTGGGAGTGCTAGAGGGGCTCTGAGCTGCAATTGGGGCAGGCAGTTGGGGTGCTGGAGGGGGTTCTAGGTGCAGGCTCTGGGAGAGTATTTGGATGTAGGGGTGCTCAGGGCTAGGGAAGCAGTTTGAGGTGTAGAAGGGGGTTCATGACTGGGGCAGGATTTGGGATGTGGGCTCCAGCTGGGCCCTGCTTACCTCAGGTGGCATCTTGGGGTTGATACAGTGGGGCTAAGGCAGGCTCACCCCTGCCCTGGTCCTGCACCACTCCCAAAAGCAGCCAGCAAACTCCTTCCCAAGTCCTGTTGTGCCCCCCACCCTGCTCTGTGGAGATAGGATACAGGATGGGAGAGGGGCACCTTGACATCAGTGCCCCTCTTCTACCTCCCCTGCCCAGCAAGCAGGAGGCTCCCGGAAGTGGGGGGAGGCAGCTCCAAGGCAAAGGGCAGAAGCTGTGCAGCAGTGGGGGGAGAGGGGCAGCTGACATGCCGGCACTTGACAGCCTCTTGGCCAACCAGTGAGGATCACCTGTCAGAGGCTCCAAGCTCTACCAGTAGATCCCGATCTATTGGTTGGTGACCACTGCCCTAAAGCATGGGCAGCATGCATTTTTTTGGTGTTCTGAGACATTTATTAGTTGATTCGGTTTACTTAGAATGAAGTGTGAAAACTGTCAACACCCAGGGAAACCGAATAAGAACAATGTCTGCAGAAGAATCCCAAATTCCTCCGAAAAATCCTATTCACGGTCCTTTACATGAACTCCCATGGCAGCTTCTATTCCAATGCTTAATTGTCTTTGACCCACATCAACGTGTACACTTCACCCACATCAATTGGGATAAGGGCCTCAGCATGATACTAGGAGGTTGTCAGACAGCCCAAGAGTCACAACCTGATCTCCATTTTGTCAGCTTCCGCAGAGAGGTGACTGCAAGCTGTCTCCTACCAAAAAACCTGCCAGCTGGCAGAAGTGTATTATTTAAGGTGCAGTCCCTGTCATTGAGGATGTTATCTGTCCAGTAGCTGACAGTGATAAAGCAGAGCTGAAAGAGAACATGAATCAAATGGAATTTAGGTCAATTATAAGGCAGTAAAGAGAAGGGCTTGAGGGCATCAGAATGAGTCTAAGTATCTAAAAAATATTTCTGACTGTTGGTTTCAAAAAACACATTCTGGTCAGAAATGGATTCTAACCACAATGAGCAGAGCCAGAAAATGGACATTCCATTCCAGGAGGCTTCTGAAAGGATCCAATGCTCATTGACCATGAAATCTGACCAGCTGACATAACCACGGTAGCACTGCAGGTCCCCATGAGCCTCACACTGGAATATCTACTTATCGAGTCGTTTGCCTCCTGCAAGAATAATACTTAGTCTTGCCGTGAGTGCAGGAGACTGGACTGGATGACCTGTAAAGGTTCCTTTGAGTCTGATCATTTTATGATTCTGTGTGGATAAAAGTCCCTAATAGTGCACGAGTGGGCCAGTTCCAGCCTTAGCCCATGGCTCACTAGACCCGATCACGGACTTGGCTGGGGAACTGTAGCACCAAAGACAGCAAATGCTACTTACCACCACTATGTAGCGTGGCCTATACTGAATAGTACCGAAGAGGCCCAGGATAACGATGATGATGTGGAGGAAATTGGCTAGAATGGGAGCCCATTGGTATCCCAGGAAATCGAACACTTGTCTCTCTAATGCAGCAAGCTGGAAGAGAGCAGCAAAAGATGAATTACAAATTCACAGCTTGCTATGAGGCTGATCATGTTCAGTCTCAGAGTCACTTCGTCACCGCAGATGCCTTTGGTGTTTTCCACTGGCAAAGCATGGGGAAGGAAGGGAGACCCCTCCCCATCAGAAGCACTGCCCCCCAACATAGTTAGCTCTTTTCAATGCTAACAAATCTGTTTACGGTAAAATATATCAATTGTTAGTGCTTTACATTCAGATTTTCAGAACCAGGGGAGGCACATATATCTAGCTAGACTTATAGCTGGCCATCTGTGCATCAAGTTGCTACATGGAGCAGGCCATTATATGTGCAAATTATACATGCAATTGCACAAAACCAAACAACTTCCTTCCCCCCCCCCCAGTCTTTTAATTAATATGTTCACAACACAAGCAAAGTGAACGTGAATGGGATAGTGCCTTCTCTCATCCATTTAGTCCATGCCTCTGGTACACTCACTCTCCTGCATACAAAGTACAGGTTGGACCTCCTTGGTCCTGCACCCTTGGAACCTGACTGTTCTTGGATTAGGGATTTTGCCAAACCAGAGGTCATTTTTGGATGCTGCCAGATCAGAGAGTCCCAGTTGAGAGAGGTGCAACCTGTATTTCTCCATCCCAAATGTGCTATGTCCAAAACCATGACTGACACCAAATCCTTAGAAAGTGGGATCGGCTATAGCAAAACAGCACTGCCTAACAGCATAGGAATACAAAGTACAATTGGTATTTATTTTTTATCCACACACCAGTTACCAAAATTTGCTTTTGCAATGGCTTAAAGTACTGAGGGATGCTATTGTATCCTCGTGAGCTAGTTGCATGCCTCAGTGACTATGTCTACACTGGGAAGATTTGGCAACAAAAGTGCTGTCACCATGCAAAAGTCCCCAAAAGTGAAACCTGGTCAAATCAGTTTTTTTGCCTCTCATTGTCAACATTTTATGGCTACATTGCTAGCACCCTGTCAACAGAGTAAAGCAAAGCAATGTGGGTAAGCATCCCACAGTGAGGGTCTGTCTAAACTACATGGCTCCGTCGACGGAGCCATGTAGATTTGTTTGTTCAGCAAAGGGAAATTAAGCTGCGATTTAAATAATTGCGGCTTCATTTAAATTTAAATGGCTACTGCGCTGAGCCAACAAACAGCTGATCATCTGTTTGTCGGCTCAGCGCGCTGGTCTGGACGCTCCCCTGCCGACATGAAAGCCCTTTATCAACCTCCCCGGTAAACCTCATCCTACGAGGCATAACGGGGAGGTCGATAAAGGGCTTTCAGGTCGGCGCAGGAGTGTCCAGACTAGCGCACTGAGCCAAAAAACAGCTGATCAGCTGTTTATCGGCTCAGTGCAGC